ATGAAGATAAAAATCATTATTGGTTTGTATCAGTTTAATATCATATTCTCAATATTATTTTCATAAAAGGCATAACTTTTGAGTGAGTAGATACTTAGTTAAAGTGAGCTCAGCTTAATGAATTACTTTTATACATTTTTCCAAACTTTCTGAGGTAGCTGTATATCTTAAACTTTTCCATTGATTCCAAAATGATTGCTGGTAAGTACTGTATGTTTAATAAGGACTTTGTTTGCATGTTTTTAAATGTTCATTTTCTTTAAAGACTAGTGGCACAAATTTGCAAGCTAATTTTACTCTTTTTTGCTTAGAATTCCTAAAGCCTCTCTTTTAATTTCTAGATTATAAGTTCCATTGATAGAACCTTTATAAATATCACATTAAGAAGTTGAGCATTACCGTTAGGCCACAGCAATTTACTTAAAAAAATCTGATTAATTTCAACACAATCAGCCAGGATGTCAGAAGATCTCAGTGCTTCTGAAAGATGCTGACAGGTGAGGAAATTAAAATCAGGGAGGGAAGCAATTAAATGCTGGCAAACATTACTTTAATGAGACAACCAAATCATTCATAAACCTTGGAATATGTTGTATTCTTGATAAGTATTTTAATGTAGAGGATGTAAGAATGCATTTAAATACATTCTTTATGGCCAGAGAGATAGTACAGTGGGTAGGACATTTGGTTTGCATATAGCTGACCCAGAGTCGATCCCTGGCACCCCACGAGGTCCCCCCGAGCCTGCAAGGAAGTATTCATGAACACAGAGCCAGGAGTAAGCCTGGGTACTGTCTGATTTGACCTATAAACTAAAAACAAATCTTCATGTGGAATTTAATGATGGGTATTTTCATGTTTTCCATCTAATTCCTTTGGCTTTGTCTGATAATCCCATGCTTTTTGAGATAGACTTCATAATCATGTTTAGTATCATGATGTTTAATTTACAAGTCTGACTGACGATAAGTGTTTCTCTTACTGCTCCCTCTACCACTACATAGAACTAAGCTGTTCCAATCTAGATGTAATGATTTTCTTTGAAGATCCGTGCTCAAGACTTGTAAAAAGGAATAGATTTATAATAGATTTATATTTCATACTGAGGATCAAACTTTAAAATTCTGCAATTTGCTTTGTGGCAAAGTCTTCACCCTGACAAGCCTTTGGGGACCTGAAGTCAATAAAACAAAGGCTTTGCTGTAAAGAACTTTGTGGCAAAGAGCAAAGGAAAAATCTGAAAAGTTCGCAGTCTGAGCTGTTCTTGTCATGTTTATGAGCTGCTTGAAGAAAAGGCTGAGATAGCAACCTCACTGCATCACCCATTTAGAAGGGTATCTCTTACAATAGGAGGTCCAAATCATCTTTAGTCCTTTTATCTTTTTCCACACAAATAACTGGTTGAGTTGACTTGTAAAATTCACAGATCACTTTGAAGTTGTGAATAAAGCTTCTCTTTTATCACTAAACAGGAATGTTATCAACTAACCTTATTGTTAACTGAAAATATTAGAAATGGGCTAGATGTCGTTTTTCCTAAAATATACTAATGTGTTTTCTTCCATGTATTTAACTTACCTATGTAGACTGAGCTGTAACCTGGGACAAACAGGCCAGACACTCACAGAATTCTGGTGACTCTTCCCCCTGGGCTGGGATCTTCAGGAATAGGGCTAAAAGGTTACTCATCGTTGACTTAGAGAAAGTTTTGACAAACTGCCATATCTGTACTATAATATTTATACAATATCAAATATTGAAATGTATATTTACTTTGCTGTTAGTAATTCTGATGCCTGTGGTTGGAAATTTTGTGATGTGAAGATAGTCAGTGTAGACCTATGTAGCTTAAATTCTTTACTGGATTCAGAGATCAAGTCAATGATACTCTGGGTCTCTATTTTCTTCATTTCCTGAGTCTTTCAAGTCTTTTTTTTTTAAAAAAAAAATTTAACACTTTAACAGATTTTTTTCCATCCCTTTCACTATTGTTCTTTATTTCCTTCTATTTTTCAACATATGTGGTATAAATGATCAATGATTACTAATCAATTACTGACTGTCTATTCCCACTAGTTAGGATCAGCTTATTGCAATTAAGTTTTGGTATCCTGCTTTTGCACAGTTTCTTATTAATCAGTTGAAGTTTTATAAGTTACAGGGTGATTATAAATATGCAGTTTTCTTTCTTTCTTTGAAATATTCTGGAGTGAGAACATTTTTCCTGAGAAAGGATGGGTGCTTTGCAAAGGATTATGCCAGCTTCTTGATAAACAGTCATCAGATACTAAAAGTCATCCAAGGTTAACTGATTTTATTATAGACTCTAGAATATGATTGTTTCTTTTCAGTTTTTCCAGATGTCTTTCTGGGTCTAGCAGTTTTGTGTTGCTTTGGGAAATACTCAAAAGTTACTGCGGACACAGGGCAATCATTCAGATTATGAAGAGGGGTGGTGAACTTCTTTCATAGAAGGCTTGAGTTTTTCTATTGCTGAAGTTGAGACTTTGATAAAGGATTTAAGGTGATTTTTTTTTTATTCTGTGACGTATTTTGAATATTTAAGAGTGTTGTAACTCTGAGATGTCCTGAGACAAAGCCAAGTATTCTGCGTCGCTCTGTCTTGAGCATTACTTTTGCTGTTTTTTCATGTTGTGTCATAACCTGCTGAGGTCATACAGGTGAAGCAGAATCAAATCTTAAATGTACTTTGACCTTTGACAGTCTTATGTTATTTCCTCATTTTTTCTTTCCTACCAAAGAGCCACTTCAAAGGAGGAGATTGTCTAGATGGAGAAAAGTTCCTGGGGTATTGAGATACAGGGCAAATTTTTAAAAACACTGAATCATTGATCTGCAATACTGTTAATGATGCAGTGTCATGCATATGACTTTCCATGCCACACTCTCCACTAGAGTGACTGTTTCTCTCTCTGACACTCCCAGATGAAGTCTTCTCTCCACCACTTTCCTCAGTTTTGTAAACCAGCTCTCAAGTCCTGTTGTCTTTGCCAATCTATTTGTTGTTTCCATAATATATTTATTTATATCTCATCTATGAGAGATGCCATTCTGTATCTGCATCTCTCTTTCTGATTGACTTTCTTCAGCATGATATATGTCAACTCCATCCACATAGTGCTCAATTTCATGATTTTGTTTTTTCTTAGAGTGGTGTCGTATTCCTTTGTGTATATGCACCATAGTTTCTTTATCAAGTCATCTGTTTGTGTACACTTGGGTTATTTCTAGATCTTGTCAACTGTTAATAGAGCCTAAATGTCTTTGCTGAAATAGTGTTTCCTGGCCTATGGGTAGAGGATAAGAAGTAGGATTATTGGGTAATATGGAAGTTCAATTTTTAGGTTTTTTTTTTAAGCGTACAAGGGTAACTTTTTATCTGCTCCACATGAGCCACGGAATAATTGAAATTTGGTTTGCATATAAGTAAATTTAGGGAAATAATGTTGCACTGGATTTATCATAATGATGACTTGATATATATGTCATGTACTACCTTTCAAATTATAAATAATATTCAAATATGACTAATGTTTTGATTTTTGTGGCATCTGACAAGAATTTCTTGCAGATAGTCTTTATCAACTGTATTCTTGTCTTAATCTAATTTGAGTCCTATGGGAAAATGGGTTATTTTAATAAAATTTTCTAGAGGCTTTATACTTCTCAATAAATTTATTCACTGTATTAAGAAATTTTCTGGTTCTTCTTTTGTTCGAAGCACTCTCTCTCTGAATCTGAGATGTGAATATAAGCACAGATTTTTACATTTTAATTAATTAATTACTTTTGGATTGGGGGCCACACCTGATGGTGCTCAGGGCTTACTCCTGGCTTTGCGCTCAGGGCAGACTTGGGGGACCATATGGGGTGCCAGTGATATAACCTGATTTAGCTTTATACAAGACAGACAAACTTTTTAAAATGACATTTAATGTACCTATAGGACTTTCAAATTTAAAGCACTATTTCTTACTTTTTTTAAGCCAAATGACTTTTATTCATCTATTTTTTTAAATTTTATGACTTCGTCTTTGGGAACAGAAGCTGTTTCCACTACTTGGTTAAACCATGTGGGATTGATACAAGTGAAAATAGTGGTCTTTTACAACTAATGGCATGAATAAATACATATTAAATTCAGAGATATTTTATTTTATTAGTGCTCATAGAATCTAAATGTGGACTCAAAGGAAAATTTGTTATTAGTTATATAACATTTCTGTTTTTCTCCTCTCTCTCTCTGTGTATATGTGTGTGTGTATATGTATATACATATATATGTATATATATATATATATATATACTGTCTATAGATCTGAAATAATGGGAAATCTAGAAAAAGTTTAACTGAGACTTAGGCTACAAAGTAATTATAATCTTAATTTACATAAAAAAGAAATTGATGCTTAAAGTTTGAGTTATCTAAGGCCATTGGTAAGAGGAGGCAAGTCTGATAGCTCTATTTATTTAGATCAAAGATTAGTTTTCTTTTATTGCTCCATCTTATACCAAGTCTAGTGGATAAAATTGATTAATTTTTTTCATCCTGCTTTTTTCATGCTAATACCCCAGAAAAATAGAAAAGTTCAAGGGTCTAAATTCACATACTGTCATGAATTGTACTTTTTATCTCTGGACAAGTTTTTCTGAACTTCACTTTGCGTTATTTGCAATATAAGGAAAACAGTACCAATTTTTACCTGATATTTGTGAAACTAACAATGAAAGAGCTGTTCATTCCTGCTCAGTCTTTCTCTTTCTCTCTGTAAACACTGTTTTTTTACCTACAAGGAAGAATCATTTCATCTTACTTCCTCATGCCTTTTTACTGGGCCTTTGTAGGGTAGAAGGTTTTATGAATATTAAAATATTTTTTAAACAAAAAACAACTCTCTATATACATACATGTATTTATGATTTTTAATGGATGAATGCAATTTAGTACTTAAGAGTGATATTTTCCATTTGATTTGCAGATACCTAGAATTACAGTTTGCTGAATCTCTCCTGCACTGACCACCCCAGGAGCTTGCTGTCTGAGGTAGGAAATCTGCATCTTCATGTGATGACACAGACTTTTAACGCATAATGTTGAATGTTGATTTTATGTCCAAGTGAAGAAAACTAAGGGACTTCATGAGGGGGAAAAAATCTCTGAAAAATAGTCAAGACAGGGCATTGACCTTACTTTTTGTCTTTTGATCCATTTTCCAGTTCATTTCTGAGTCCTTAATGTTACCTTAAACACAAACTCAGGGCAATCTAGAAAATTCTTATTTAATGAATATTTTTGTATAAAGAATGTTAAAAAACATTTTTCTGACCCTTGATTAAGTGTGGTTTCACTATATTCTACCTCTAGGATTTCTTTTTCTGAAAGAGGTCAGCTATGCTAGTCATTATCTCTTTGTTGCCCCACAAACTCTCGAAGATGCATAATCTAGGATTATGACAAAAAAATTCTTAAGAATATAGAAAATGAGTTTCAACCTTTCAAACCTCAGGACCCATAATAACTGCACGCCAACTTCAAGGGGTAGGTTTTGATCAAAATATGACATTTATCTTGAGTTTGTCAAGAAAATGGAGACCAGTAACATTAAAACAAAAAGCAACAACAAATGAAAACACGGTAGTTGAAATATGTGAAGGATTTTTATTTCCTCTTGCGACTAACAACTGATACCTTCATTTCTCAGCTAGCTCTTTTGCGTTATATGTCATATTTAGAAATCTTAGCCAATAAGCAGTGAAGTGGCTAATATAGTGTTCCAACGGAAGGTCTGTAGTGAAGCAACATTGTAGAAGAACTAATATTCAACTAATATTTTCAGAATTTCTTTGATATTTTTTTTCATGCTTTGGAGGCAAAATGTGACTTTGCTTGCAAAGATATTTGAAATAATTCGTTTGTTGTTATTTACATTAATATGGCTGTCAAAGCTAATATTCCCAGAGCACATTGAATAAGAATATTTTCTGTGCTTATATGAAGGGTTATATATGAATTTCATGTGAATGGGAAGTTCCTCTCTAAATTAGACATAGAAGTTAATGAAATGACTTTGATTCTATTCTCATTTCTATGAAAGAGATTTGTAAACAAGGGTAAAGGTAAAGGTAAAGGCCCTCCCGTTGATCGTCGATTTGCTCAAGCGGGCCCAGTAACGTCTCCATTGGAGACTTTGTTGTTACTGTGTTTGCATATCGAATACTCTCGGTAGCTTGCCGGGCTCTCCGAGAGGGGCGGAGGAATCGAACTCGGGTCGGCCATGTTGACCGCTTGGAAGGCAAACGCCCTACCACTGTGCCCAAAATACAGAAATGAATGACTTCTTCCTATATTTTTGTTCCTCTTTTGTCTATGAAATGCCCACAAAATATCAAAATTCCTTTCTAATGTAACCTATAATAATCAGAAAGGGAGGTTCTATAGATATAATACAGTTTCTGATAGCTGTTTAATATATAAAACTTATTCATTTACAATATATAGTTTTATGAGAATTCTGAAAATGCTAGTCAAAAATAAAATAAAACATTGTAAAAATACAATAAACTCCCTCAAAGAGCTTGTGTTAGATAGTGGTTGGGTAAGGCAATCACTCATGCTGCTTTGATCACCACTGTTGCATATGGTCCCCTGAGCCCTACCAGGAGTGAACCCTGAGCACAGAGCCTGGAATAATACTTGAGCACACCAAGTACCTTACTCACCATACTACCTCTCCAGCCCCTCCCCAAAGTGATTAACTATGCCCTTCTTCCTAACTAAAAATAATTTTAAAACTATGCAGAGGGGGTTAAGTAAACCAACAAAAGGTTATGAAATATTACTCTTTTTATAGGAATATTTTTTGGTGGTGCTGAGAATTGAACCAGGGCCTCACACACGTAAGCCATATGCTCTACAGCTTAACCATCACCCTAGTTCTAAAATATTACTCTGTAACTCTATCATCATCTATCTCTATCATACAAATTTAGGATGTGATGAGTGTGGACAGGGAAAGATAAAAATTTTGTCTCAAATAATTTTTGGAAAGAAAATAATGGTTACCCTACACTTTACTGAACAGTTGTTGCCATGTTTGAAATTGGCATGCTTGAGTGTTCTATGCATCCTAATACTGCACCAAAGTTTAAGGTAAAGGTAAAGGTAAAGGCCCTCCCGTTGATCGTCGATTTGCTGGAGCGGGCCCAGTAACGTCTCCATTGGAGACTTTGTTGTTACTGTGTTTGGCATATCGAATACTCTCGGTAGCTTGCCGGGCTCTCCGAGAGGGGCGGAGGAATCGAACTCGGGTGGGCCATGTTGGCCGCTTGTAAGGCGAACGCACTACCACTGTGCTATAGCTCCAGCCCAAAGTTTAGTAATAAATTATTTTTTAAAATGATGCTAGCACACCTTTTAAAAGACAAAAACCTACACTTAATGATTGTACCCCACTTACAAAACCGTTGGCATAAAATCTATGACAATTATGCTATGAAATATGGCTGTTCTGGGGGCAAGTTGTAGAAATAGAAAGTAATCTTGTGATAATTGGTATCAGTGGCAGTAATGAAGAAGGAATAACAGTTTAAATAAATAATTAGACTTGACAGTAGATGTGTCAACAGGTACCTACTTAATGAGTGTAATCATTGTTTTTCTCTGCTTTCAACATTGATCCACTGACTGTGGTGTGTTCCTTGTCCCATTTCCAAACCAAATCTATTTAAAGCTGCACTTCATGGAATTTGAAATGGTATACTCTGTTTACTATTTAGAGCTGATACCCGATGTTCTTTAATAGGCAAGATCTCTACTTGAGCAAGAACAGGCTTCTGGCCTCCTGTAGCCATTGGTTATCCCTCATTTCCAAAGGGTTTTCATTAGCAGGGATGAGTAATACCTAATTAATGCACATGGATTTGCCTATATTGCTAGGGTGAATTACTTACTGTAATTGAAGGAAACAATACTAGTCTACCTTACATCATTTACTGTGTTTGTGATGCCGAGGCAGAGACAACAGTTATACATGTGGCTTAGTTGTTAGTTACATGGATAGAATCTCATTGTTTGAGGAAGAGAAGGAACCACATGCTGTTATATGAACCAGAGATCATGAAAATCTAATTCTAAACCCAGTTCTGACTGTCAAGTTGGGTAAACCAGTTTCCCATTTTGTGATCTGTTTCTTCATTTAGCAATAGATACAATTGGGATAGTTAATCATATTACTAAATAAAATATGCTATTGTGTATGATTTTATTCCTTAGGCTATTTCTTCTTTCCCCTGTTGCTACTTTACTGAAGCCACTTATTTATCCTTTGAAAAGTTCTATGATTACGACAGAGCCGGTGTATGAAAACAGTTTTTTAATTGGATTTTTTTTATTCTTTCACATATCAGAAAGTAGTTAATGATTTAACTTTACTTTTCCGTGGACAGTTAGTGTGTATCTATACATGATAATTCCATACCAACAACAGTCAACTTCTGTTTTGAGGAGAGGGAACCCTCTTATTTCAATAGCTTGGGTCTCATTTTTAGAGAATATGCTAGACTTATCCACTGGTGACATGGGAAGGTTTCTTCTCAGTTGTTTGATTTTTTCAAAGTGGGTCATTGACCTGTTATAAGAAGTCGGGATATCAATACTATCAATACTATTGTATAACAATACTATCTATTATAATACAATATAGCCAAATTGTCCTATTTTATAGAATGAGATATTTGGCCAAGGAAAGAGTCTGATTTGTCTACATATTTTTCATAGATCCTGGTACAGATTTCTTTCTTTTGATTCCATAGCCCTACCTCAATTTGACCTGAGAATTCTCTTTTTACACACTGTTCATTCTTTTCCATATATACAATGGATTACAAAATTAATTATTTTCAAACAAAAACAATATCAGTATCAGTGCAGGATGTGGTATACCCTTAAAACTTAAAAGGTTACTAGGTACCTTCATAAACCCTGTGGTGCGGTGGGAAGGAGAATTTGGGTCAGCTTCTCCTCTCTGTTTTTCTTTAGAGACGGAATTCTCAACAGTCTTACTTGTAGAGGACTATGTGACCCTGATATCACCACTGTTTATTCCATCCGCCTTCTGCCTATCTGATATGATAAATAATAGGGAGCTAAGTATGACTTAGCTAGGTTCACTTCTTGTGCGTGATTTGGAACATTAATACAGAAGATAGATGAAAAATTAATAAGCAAGAGTCCAGGAGAAGAATAGCCAACACAGTAAAATCTAGTTCAAGGCTTATAATTCCCAGTTTCTGTGACACACAATATTAATAGAAGCAGCTCTCACTCTTTTGGATCGTTTTTTCTGTCTTGTTGTCATGGGACTGATTGGGATTGAAATGATGCAGAAACAGTCTTTGACAAACCAGTCATATGTTTAGGAAATTTCCAGGTTTACAGAAGAGAATGATAATTATTCTCTAGTAGAAGGTGTTAGAGACCATGGGATCCTAACACTTATCATGAACCCCGTATTATCCAATGTCGAGAGTCTAAAGTTTAAGCCCTGATCCTAATACATTTCCTGACTTTGGAGAAGGTCTGACTTTTTTCTGAATGTGAATTTCTCCATTTGTGACATGGGAAGAGGAGGATGAAGTCAGAAAAAATGTTGTCAAAATTTCACCTTCCCCTGAGTAGTCTTTGGTTTATACAAGTTTTCAGAAAAGCAAATATTTTAACTAACAGTCTTTCTCTGGTGTGGAGTGCTCATAATGATAATGCTTAGTGTACATACTTTCCAAAGAAGATGTTCTTAGTCTTTCAAAAAATTAATTAATTTGTATTGAATCACTGTGAGATACACTGTTACAAAGCTGTTTATGGTCAGATTCAGTCATACAATATTCCAACAACCATTCCCCCACCAGTGCACACTTCTCACCACCTATATCCTCAGTTTCTTTCCCACTCCCCCCCCACCCTCACCCCTCGCTCCACTGCCTGTTTCTATGGCAGGCACTTTCCTTCCTTCTCTCTCTCTCTCTCTCTCTCTCCTTTTATACAGA